TAATAGAGCTCGAAATCCCTTCTCTTCGAATCACGTTGGAAAGTCAACTAGATGAAGTCGACTGCATTAGAGCGAGATATGATGAATTAGTCTTACTTGATGAAAAACGCTTGGCATCTTTGCATCATGTCCAAACCTACAAACAACATATGGCACGACATTTAGATAAAAAAGTGATGAATAGAAATATCAAAGAAGGTGATTTAGTGCTTAAGGCACTTTGCAAAAATGTGTTAGAACCAAGAGGAAAATTTAGACCAAACTGGTCAGGTCCGTGCATTGTCAAGTCCATTTTGTCGGGTGGAGCAGCACAACTAGTAGACATGGATGGCAACGATTTCCACAACTTAACAAATTTGGATCAACTCAAGAAATTTTATGCCTAGTTGCAAGGGTTAAAGACCTGTTAGAGCTACGTATGGCCTGATTCCTTTTAAGGATACGTAGGCAACCCCTTAAGGGGAGCCGGCTACTTTAAAAAATAAACATCCTTCCCCCATCAACATGCATTGAGTAAATTTCAAGGAAGCAGCCACTGTGTCACGACAAAATATGCTGCAACGCGGCAAAAATTTACGCGACACGAGAGTATTTGTGCAAAAATCTCCAGCAAGAGGACGCCCTGCCACGACAACATATGGCGCGCAACGGCAGAAATTTCCGCAACACGGCGGATCTTGCCGTGACACGACATTTTTTCCAGGATTTTTTTATTTATTTTTCTTTAAATTGCTTTGTTCGATTCTTCCATTGCATCTGACTTCTTGACTCGGATAAAAAAAAAGTCATGGTAATTTTAATTTAGGAAAAATTGCTCGGAATAATCCCACCTTTGGGCCGTCCGCTAAAAATAATCCCACCTTTGGATTATTTTTAAATAATCCGACCTTTATATCCAATCCACTCAAAATTGTCCCAGATAACCTACAACCGGTTGAGTAGGTAATTTTTTTTAATGAAATTTAATTTACACGTGTCACAACATGGTTGGTAAAAAAAATAATTTTGCTTTTAATTATTTTTTAAAAATTGATTTTACTAATTAATATTAATTACTTGATTTAAAACTAAGTTAATTAAAAATAATTAATTAAACCACCACCACCACCGGTAGCACCAGCCACCTTCCCGCTCTACCACAGGCCCAGATCGGCCGCCATCCCGTAGAGCCAGACCGCTGCTCGTCCACGCATGTCGCCACCCTTCCCCTACCCCATTCTGTCACCTCTAAACCACCACAATACTTACCGAAATTAAGGCCAGGAAGGAAGGGGGCCAAAATCGAGGCAGTGCGAGGGGAAGGGGAGAGTGTCAGAAAAGGGGAAGGGGAGCGAAAGAGTGGCTGGGGAAAGGGAAGGGGAGCGAAAACGTGGCTGGGGAAGGGGAAGGGAGGTCGGGATCGGGATGGGATTCGAATCAAATTGGTGGTTTAGGGGGGAGGACAGGCGGCGGTACTAGGAGTGAGGGATAACGATCGGCGCGACGCTCAGACGCTTGGTGGCAGGCAGGGGGTCGTTCTGGCTGTCGAGTCAGGCGGTGGTGGGAGGGTGGCTTGGGCAGCCAGTGGTTGGTTTTTAAATAAATAATTATATATTTTTTTATATTTTTTTATAATATTTAACTTTTTTAAAAAAATTTATTTTATTTTTATTTTTTTGGACCAATCATAGGCCACCACGTGTCAGGTAACTTGTTATAACAAGTTACATGACCGGTTGGGACCATTTTAAGCGGATTGGATATAAAGGTCGGATTATTTAAAAATAATCCGAAGGTGGGATTATTTTTAGTGGACGGCCCAAAGGTGGGATTATTCCGGGCAATTTTTCCTTTAATTTAAGGCAAAAATAATTATGCTATTATTATTGAAATAAACGTGACTACAATTACTGGCATCATACGCCTTAATTAAAAAAAATTAAAATTTAAATCATATAAGCAAAGCAATATTGGTCTAATCCTTTTTCACTTTTGAAACTTCATTCTTCTTTTCTACTAGGTTGGCCTTTACCATTAGTATGTCTTTTGTAGCCGGAACCGTCACACCTCTAGTTGAACTCTCACCCCTTTCACCTTTCTTATAGTTCTTGGGTTGCTTCTCCCAGTAAACCATCTTTTTTTTTTACCCTTTCCTTTTACATAATTTTTCTTCTTAGGCATTATAGGAGTCTTAAATTCAATTCCTTGTGTTCACGGAACAAGACGATCTTTAAGAGGCGCCTTCTTACTTCCAAGATGTCCCTTCACATAAAAGTTAAGTGATCCGACTGATGAGTGTCATTTATGGCACTCATTTGGCCTCTTTTAGGATGATTTTCATGCTTCTTTATAGCCTTTTTCCTTAGCTTTTCCTTAATTTTGTTCTTTATTTCGTTAATTTGTGCTTTCCATAGTTAGTTTCCTTGTTTTGTGCATTTTTTTTGTTTATTTGTTCTTTTTCCCTTTTATTTGTTTGTTTTTATTTGTTTTTAGGTTATGATCGTGTCTCCAAGGATTCCCGAGCCTTCCTCTCGTATTTCTCATCAACTTTGATGCCTCATGTTCGCCTTCTGGAACTTCAAGTTTAAAGGAACACAAAGAGCAAGTCAAAGAGATCGGTGCACGTATGCAGTGGGGGCGTCATCTTTTCCATGAACCCACCAAAATGGCCCTCTCAAGACTGCCCACCTTGGTGTTCATCATCATCATAAAGTCGAGCCCACGAGGATGAGCTTGGAAGAAGAAGAGGGCGGGCTACCTTGCTGCAAGGTGCGGGCGCGCACGAGGGTGGTTTTTGATGCGACCGCGCCATCCGGGGTTTCTTTTGGGACGATCTAACTAACTCTTCTTTTGTGTCTTTCGTATATATAGTTTTTCCTTCTATTTTTAGGGAGAGAATTAGAACAGAATTAGAATTAGTTTTGATCAAAATTAGAGAGATTTTTAGAGAGAGAAACTCTAGGTTTTAGTGAGGGAAATTCATGGTGGATTGTTGATGATTGAAGCTTTCTTTAATTCCTTTGATCTTTGATCAAGATTGTAAGATTTCCTTTTCTTTAATTCAATTTTTAGTTTGATCTCTAGATTGATTTCAATTGGTTGTTGAATGTACAAGTTTGACTGAAGATTGATTGATTTGTGTTTGATTTTAGCTTGTTTGATTTGATCATGATGAATTTGTTGTTTAGTGTTGCTTTGATTTTGATTTCAATGGCTAGTGAGTAGATAGCTTGCTAGGGTAATGGTGAAGCATGTATGAGTAAAGGATTGAAGCTAATTGGGGAAAATTGATGGAGTTGACTATGTGATTAAATTGGTTGATGATCATGTGCATGTGATTAATTAAAGAGTACCTAACTTTGATTGTTGCACTAGATTGCATTGTAAGTTCACATTGATACGGACCATTGATTTGTGGCTTGCACTCACACGATTGAGGTGTCTTGTGATGTTTCCTTGCTAGAGTTTATCGTAGTTGACGCTAGTTAGACCTCTAGGAGAATAGCTTGATATGCTCTTTTGGTTGCATGATTGATTTTCCTTCTCATTGCTTGACTTAGTCTATTTGACCTCCTAATTAGTTGGATCCGTTATGATTACATGCGGATCCTTGCCCTAGTGTTTATTACATTTGATTTCTTCTCGTTTATTAGTCGTCTTAGTCTAGCATAACATTCACACCCAATCATTACATTTCGGAATAGCTTGACCATAAACAATAGATCATCGCCCACTATTCCTTTGGGTTCGACCCTCAACTTACCATTATACTTGTGTAGGGGTGTGTTGAGTGTTTACAAATTTTGTTTGTCTTTGGGTAGGGGTTAGCTTCAACGACCTAGATTCAACCCTCGTCAAAATGGCGCCGTTGCCGGGGAATGGCGTTGTGATTTTGTATTGTTATTGAGTGTATTCCATCTTATTATAAAATACAAAAAGATTTTTCTTCTTTCTTTTAGGCTACACTTGTAGCCGTGTTACTAACAATTTCTTTTGAGCTTTTGCATGCATAGTAGAACTCGTGTTAGGACCTTAGTTCCTTTGGATCCAGAAATTGAAAGAATTCTTTCACGAAGAAAGGTAGCCAACCGATCTTTGAGCCTAAGTTCCTCAAGTGAAGAAGAATTTGTGGATGAAGAAGAGCAAGCCATGGGAGAAAATCCAAGAGTAGCTTTGAAGGATTTGGGAATTCCCGGTGCTTATAGGTTTGAGAGTGGCATTGCTCCACCTACAACACCGGCGAACGATTTTGAAATTAGACCGGCCATTATTACTTTGATAGAAAGGAGGCAATTTAGTGGAGCCAAGAGTGAGAGCCTGTTGAATCACCTTAAGGAATTTGAGAAGTATTGTAATACTATCAAGGTGAACGACATTTCTGAAGAGTTTATTCGGCTAAAGTTGTTTCCCTTTTCTCTTATTGGCCATGCCTTAGAGTGGTTGGATAAGGAGGTTAAGCCAAATTCCCTTAGGACATGGGATGAAGTCTCCAAAGATTTCTTGTCTCTCTTTTACCCACAAAAGAAGACGACGAAGGCTAGAGCCTTAATCCAAGTATACAAACAAAGGCCCAATGAGAATCTCTATGAAGCATGGGATAGGTACAAGGAGTACCAAAGAGAGTGTCCACATCATTGAATTCCTACCTATCAAGTGATACAAATTTTCTATGGAGGCTTGAGTGCTCAAGGCAAGTCATGCCTAGATGGAGGAGCCGGAGGTCCTATAATGAAGAGGACGGAAGAAGAGGTAGTTGACATAATTGAGGATGTGGTGAGATACTATAGAGATTGGCAAGAAGGAGAGAGAAAGAGTCTACGAGCCAGAGTGGCTCGACGGTTTATTCGGTGGATCATCTCAATGCGATTAATAACTTGTCTTCCCAAATTTCAAATCTAGGGAAGGAAGTGACGTCGATCAAAGCAAAGCTTGAGAGTGTTTCTACGAATTCATTGAGTCTTCCCTCCCAATCTAAAGGGAGAGGTATATTTTCTAACTCTTCTCCTTCTACTTCCAATAACATGCTAAGTGGTTGTCTATTTTGTGATTCTTGTGGATCTTATGATCATGATTCTTCCATGTGTTCTCAAACTTTTGTTGATGGATGTGATGATGTTGAAATTAATGAATGTGAACATGTGAACTTTGTGTCTAATGTCAATGGTGGTAAAAGATTTGATGGACCTAAGAACTTTATTAATAGGAATTCTCACCCCCAAGGTGGTTTCGATAACTACAACAATGGAGGCTATAGGAACCAAGGAAACCAAGGTTTTCGAGGTAACTATAACAACCAAGGCTATAGTAATCAAAACCCGACCCGTGGGTATGGTAACCAAAGTCAATTTCAAGGCTTTGGTAATCATTACCATAATGGTGGCAATAATCAAGGTCGTGGCAATTGGAACAACAACCAAAATCGGGGAAGTTTTCAAAATAACAACCAAAGGGTCCCCCACCGGGTTTTGCTCTAAAGCCTCAAGGCAATGGTGAAAATTCTTATTCCCAACCATCATCATTTAAGACAAATTTGGAAGAAATGATTGATAACCAAACCAAGATCATCAACACATATATGGCGGTGAGTGACAAGAAATTAAATGAGATGATGACTCATAACAAAATGCTTGAGACAAAAATAACCCAACTAGCAAACACTCCAAGGGATTGTGCTAGTCCATCATCTTTGCCTTCTCAAGGAGTGGAACCTAAGAAACCGTTTGTTCTATCACCACCAGGAGTGGGAGAGTTCTTAATGAGGGAGCTTCTAGGTCTATTGATGAGGATGAGGAGAGGAGTGATCCAAGAGAGGAAGTTGAGAAGGTTGAGTCTAGGAGTGTGAGTTATGAGGAGGTAGGTGCAAGAGAAAAAAAGGAGTAGTGAGAAAGAGCGTGAGGAAGTGCGGAGACCCGACCTTCTATACCCAAAAACATTCTTGAGGCACAAAATTGATGATCAATTTGGAAAGTTTATTGCTATGCTCAAGGAAGTTCACCTTTCTATCCCCTTCACCGATGCAATTACCCAAATGCCTAGATACTCTAAGTTCCTTAAGGAGATTTTGAGTGGGAAGAGAATGTGCAATGAAGTTGATTCGGTTGAAGTTGGGAATTGTTATAGTGCTTTCATTCATAATGAGATGCCCAAGAAAATGGAGGATCCGGGAAACTTCTCTATTCCATGTGAGATCAAAAGGAAAATGTTTAATAATTCTTTTTGTGATCTTGGAGCTACTGTGAGCGTCATGCCTTATTCCATTTTCAAGAAACTCGAGCTAGGTGAGCTACTCCCATCTAACATAACCCTTCAATTGGCCGATCGGACTATTATGATTCCAAAGGGGAGAGTTGAGGATGTTCCTCTTAAGATAGGAGGGTTCACTATTCCCATTGATTTCATTGTGCTTGAGATTGTGGAAGATGACCATATCCTTATCATTTTTGGAAGACCTTTCTTAGCCACTTCGGGAGCCTTAATTGATGTGAAAGGAGGTCATATTACCCTGAGAATTGGTAAGAAATAGGAAAGCTTTGAGTTGAAACCAATGCATGAGTCTTTGTCTCTTGTGCAAGGAATTATGTGTGCTAATTCCCCTCGCTCTATTGATAATGAGTGCATGATTAATTCTTCAACTAACGATGTTCTTGAGAATTGTTATGTTGTTCTTTCATGTTTTGATGGCAAGAAGGTTAGTGAAGAGAAAATGATGATTCCCAAGCTAACGGACGAGGAGGAAGTTGAAATCCCTCATTGGTTTGAGCTCTATCCTCAAGATGGAGAGGATGTTTCCATGAGTATGGATGGTGAGGAACCATCTACAATAAGCAACAAGCCAAAGAAAAAAGCTCGTGATTCTAAGAAGAAGAGAGAGAGAAAGAAGTTATGGAAAGAAAAATTTGCAATTGAAAAGTCTTTGAAGGAAGTTTCATCAAGCAACAATAAGAAGTTGCTAGAAGTTGAAAAAGAATTTTCTCTTTCTGCTACCTTGAAAAAGGTGGTGTTCTTTGACCCTCCATGATTTGGAGGAAGGGTCAAGCTTAGGACCATAAGCAAGCGCTTCCCGGGAGGCAACCCGGGGATTTCTAACTTTTCTTTTTGATTTTTGAATTTCTCTTATTTTTCCTTCTTTTATTTTATTTTCTTTCACTTTTCTACTTGATTGGATTTGTAGGTTGCATTTTTGGGATTGGATTTCATTAAGTGAGCATGAAGAATGAGAAGGTGTTATGCGGTTTTTGATGTGATTATACTCGATTTTATCGAAATTTGAGGTAAAAGGGTAAGAATCTTGGTGAGGTAAGTTAGGGATTTTATGCTTTAAAGTTGAAGGAATTTTGCACTTGGTGGGTTCTTATGGTGGGTTCATGAAATTCTAGTTTTAAACACACTAAAAGGGGATTTTGCTACTGCCTATGTTGATGTTTATCATCATCATTATTTGTGTACCCATCAATGAACGCACCAAGAATTTAAAAAAATAAGAAGAGAGAGCTAGGCTGGGCTAAGGTGCGGGCGCGCACGCATTTGATGCGGCCGCGCACCTGTCTGGTGCGGGCGCGCATCCAACTGGTGTGGCCGCGCACCTGGATGGTGCGGGCGCGCATCAACCCGAGCCACTCCTTTATTTTTTTTCCTTCCTTTCTTCTTTCATTTCCCCTTATTCCTCCTTCATAGTTTCGACCCCCATCATCCTCAAACCCTCAAAACCGAACCACTACCTTCAACAACCCATCAAAATTTCAAATCAAATCACTCAAAATTTCACTCTAAATTCACTAAAACCTTCTACATTTCCATCCAAAACATCAAATTCATACTACTTTCATCAAACTAAACCTCTAATCTCTCTCATCCATACTTGGGTATAATTTGGGGTTTTTCTATTTGGTGGATATTGGTGGTTAAAAGTGGTTCAATCTTGCTTCAAATATGGTATAATCATCTTCTCTAGCTTTTAATTGCTCAATTATGTCATATATTTCCAAGTTTTGATTTGTTCATGAGCATGAATAGTGGTAGTACCAACTTTGATGATTTTGATGTTTGATATTGGTTTTGGTTGATTATTTGAGTTTTTTGTTGTTTGATTTTACCTCACATTGTGTTTTTTGTTGATTTTGTAGCATTTGTGAGCAATTTTGTTGAGAATTTTGGAATTTGAATTTTGGTAGTGTGGGTAGTAAGGTGCTATTATGGTTTGGTGGTTCTTCTTGTGATTGTTGGTTGTTTGAGAAGAGATTGTTGGATGTTTGGTGTTGTTTGGTAATTTGGATTGGAATTGTGATTGGTGGATATTGAAGTTCTTGGTTGGAGATTTTGCGGATTGTTGTGGAATTTTGTGATTGGTTTTTTGTGATCCTTGCACTTGAAATTCATCATGTCGAGAGTCCTCAAAAACCTTGTTAAGAAACGCAAAACAAACGCCTCCACTGATGAACCTAACCCAAGCATATCCTCCTCCCAAACACGTAACCCTACTCCACCACCCAAAAGAAAATTCAACGATAAAAAACACAAGAACCGGTACCAAAAACTAAAAGAAAACCGCTCCCTTAAACCCACAAGACACTACTTTCAATCCGACATGTCCACACTGGGGATTGATGAGGATGTAAGGGAGTTGTTGATCAACCTACGAATGGGCATATTCATCTCCTGTAGCTACCGCACCTATGTTGAGCCTACTCTTGAGTTCTTTGCTTCGGTTGAGATAATTCCTGTTGAGGGTCAATATAGGGTTCAATTCCAAATTTTCAACAGCTTCTTCGACCTCTCCTTAGAGCAATTCAATGCTGCTCTAGATTTTAATCCTCATGGTGACATTTTGGATCTAGAGCCTTATATTTTTGAGGAGTATGATCAGGATCATTGGTGGGACGATATCTCCGGAGGTGGTGATTTTATCACCAAGCGGGCCAAGATTAGCAATGTCTACCAACCTTGTCTTCGGGTTGTTCACCGACTTTTGGGGTACTCAGTTTTCCCCAAGCAAGAGTTGGGAAAAATGAGAAAATTGGAGCTCAAAATTCTTTGGTTGGCCACTAGAGGAGAATATCGTGGCCGGTTGAACTTGGGGTACATTTTTTCCACCTATTCTGTAGCCTTACAAGACCGGGACATCGGAGAGATTCCTTGTGGGGGAATGGTCACTAGGCTCTTGACCAACCTCCACCTTGATCATCATTTGCCATATTGCAAGCCGGTTGGAGATGCCGACTCCGTGTACCTTGATATGAAACAATTGGGGCAAATTCTATTTATCTCCAAACATTATGAGGAGGGCAATTATGAGTGGCTTCAAGATAACAAGCATTAGTGCTACCTTCCCAACCCATCTTTGACATCTCCCCACCGGACGGACACCCCTAATGTGTGGCATGTCCCCTAGAGCTTCCGCCGCCCATTCTTTTACTCCGATGAGGAAGAAGAAGAAGTTGTGGAAAAACAACAACATCAACAACAACAACAACGTCAACAACAACAACAACAACAACAACAACATCAAGGGCAAACGCAACAACTTCAATTTGCTAGCTCGGACTTGGAGGCCCTAATTAACCAAATGAGTGGGTTTTAAATCCGCTTAGAGGGCATGTATGACCAAGATTTTGAGGCCCTCTACTCCCATATGCGAGGTATTTCCGAAATGCAACAAGGTATGTTCATTCAACAACAACAACTTTTTGATGCGGAGGTTAACTGAGGGAGCATCACTACCCCGGTTAACTATCCTTACTTTCCGCCCTAGCAAGATCCTATACCTTCGCATGGGCATCCTTATTGGCAAGGCCCTTTAGAGCCCGGTACCGAGCCCCGTTCTTGCGCGGACGAGCGTGGTAACTATGATTACCGTGCTCCCGGAGGGTGTGACTATAGGGGTGACCCTAATTACCCCTATGTGCACCCTAACCATCCATTTGAGCTCACCTTGCCCGAGCAATTCACACCTCTTGCCCCTTGGCAACAAGATAATTTCAAGGGGCATTATGGTTGGCCCGAGGGATTCACCGGAGGTTGGGCTCCTTACTCACCTCCAACCTTCGATGACTACATGGGAAAAAATGATTCTTATGAGGCCGGGCCAAGTGGTGGTGGTAATGATGAGTCTTAGTTCCCTCTCTTTTGTGCCTCCTACCTCCATCCCTTATGTTTATGTGCTTAATTTGTATTGTAGGGATGTTGAGATGTATTCATGTTTAGCTTGGGGGAACTTCTTTATATCTCGATTGCCAATATTTGTTGTTGTTGCATACCTTGAATTTTATTTGCCTCTTGTGTTTAGGGTAAAATTACCCATGACAAATGGACCAATCCGGACCTGACACGTGTCCACCACGTGGGCCAATCAGCGTCCGCCACTTGTCACCCTAAGAGGTCCAACATGGACTAATCAGGCCACGCCACGTGGCCTCCCATATGCCAAATAGGCAAAATGGCCACCAAGGCCCAAAGTCCGAGAGAAGCCCAATTTGCCCTGGTTAACCTAAACCTAAAATTGGCACGCTTCTCAAGACTATAAATACTTAATTAATCCTCATTAAATGGAATTCAGCAATTAATGACTCTCACCTAGAGAAAACCAAAACACATTGATCACTCCTGACCTAGAGGAACCAGATCTTCCAACCTTTACTTTTCCGCACTATTCACTCCTCAAGCAAGTACTAACTTGATCGTCGGAGGCGGAGCTCCCACCACAAGGAGTCTCCGTTTGTTTTGCAGGTACAGGCGCAAGGATACCAGTCCCGGAATTGTAACTCTCCCGCAGGGCATCAGAAAACCCTGAAACATTTTGGCGCCGTCTGTGGGGAGAGTACTTTCGAGATGGTATCACAGTCTGTACCGATTCTAAGTGAGAAGCGTCCCATGGACGACCCCCTGGTCCAGTCAGACAAGGGTACCGACGAAGAATATGAAGTCGAGACTCACACGGCCCCTGACGGGTCCCTCAGAGCTCGACGCACCCGTCCCATCGAAAGGAAGGAGCGGGGAGACTGCCTGGCTGAATCTAGTAAACCACTCGGCCCGCCGCCTAATCATCAACAGGCGGCCGAGGGATCTGCCCCTATCACCAGGAATGAACTCATGACCCTCATGAGTAGTTTCAAGGGGGAGATCCAAGACTTGATCAACCAATGGGCGCTTGTTCCTGCAAAGGAACAGTCGGCCAAATCAAACCACTCCCAGTTGAAGTTACATACGCCTAGCACGACACTCATTGGGTACATCCGGCAAAATATCAGCCTCCCAGCATTCGGCCCGACAGCCAAGTACTACAAGCGTCGTACGTTCGGATGCCAAGAGTAGTATGGATAGGCTTGTAAGCTATTATTAATTTTATTATCAAATCATTATTATGATATTGATTTTAAAATAAAAAAATAAAAAAATAAAAAAATTTCATTATTATCAAATCATTATCATACGGCCACATGCGCCTAACTTACTGATTTTGTATGGCAAAGCTCCACCTAAGAGCCTTAGGTGGAAACCTACTACAAAGTTAATCTTAGCATTTGATAT